GGCCTGCCTTTGCCAAAAACTAATAAACACTTCTCCCAATCATTACTAATTGAATGTTTTTTAGATGATTCAAATCGGATACTCCGTTCTCTCAAAAATTCGATTTCTATTTTCTGCACTCTTTGCTCCGTATCTCCGAAACGGCTGGACCTGCCTTTGCCAAAAACTAATCAGCTCTTTTCCCTATCAATAGGAATCGAATGTTTTTTGAACTATTCAAATCGGTTGATCCGTACACCCGAAAACGTGGGCGAAAATTTGTATCCATACATACATACACACACACACACACACACACACATCCATTTTTTCTGAAGTATGCCAAAATGTTCAGAAACCTTCAAAACGTCGAGAAATGTAAAAATTTTCAATTTCGATTTTCGGCCCATTACAATAACTTACCCTACGGGAAGTTAATAACCAATAAATAAACATATCTTTTTCATTATAACTTAGTAACAAATCAGTGATTGTATGTAATTAGAACTGCAACAAATACATAATATACAAATAAATCAGTGTTTAATACAGTCCACAACTACAAAAGTTAAATTATAACCAACAACCTGAATTATCAAAGAAGAGCTTTAATAAATTCTATAACTACGTGACATAAAGTACACCACCATTCGTCCCGGGTTTTTTTAAAAGCAATATTTCTCCCGGATTTTAATATTTTGTCCCGGGTTAAACTGAACATTCGCAAGTGCTTGATAATAAATTTACAACAACCCATCAAATATCTGAAAACGATATAAACAAATAGTATACATATATGAAACAATGTGTTATAATGCGTGTATTATCTAATGCAAAATACCAAGGTGTTAAAATAGCATATCACAATAATAATTTCGAACTTTCATTTTCAATTTTACAAAAATTAGTAAAAACTATGACAACGAGAATTTCGACTGCTTAGCACAAGTTCTTATACTAACAATAAGTTATTTATGTATAAGGAAAATAGATAGAGCAATACAACGTATGATATAACATATAATCGAATAATAAAGTCCTACTAAAAGTCAGTTGTCGTTTCCCGTGAAGATCTGGAACCATAACTTAATTAGTTACTATTCTAATTTCTAAAAACTATAATTTATATCGTTCAAAACGCTGAAATTATACTTTCTTAAATATTAGCCGGCTGGTCTAAAAGCGTACGACGATGGATAGAACTCCTTTTAGGGAGACGGAATCTCAGCGAGACATTTAGACAATGTGCGATAACATCTCTACCGTCCGATCGTTAACAAAAAATAATGAACCACGACTTTCCAAATATTTTATTCAGTCCGTATTTTTTATCTTTTTCGAAATATGCTCGCTCGGTTGTCTTAATTTATTTTTACATCAGAAAATTCTTTAAATTATTAGAATTTACATAATATAAACAGATACATTACTGCAAACATTTTTTTGTCAATTCAATTTATTTTGCAATCTGGCAGATAAAACAATGAGCAGAGATTGTTAACAATATAAAAAACAGATAACATTATAATTTGACTATAAGATACTCCTAGCGTAGAATCTATTAGGAGTATAAATTGAAAAAAAAAACAAAAATTACTAGTTGAAAGTGGCATTTAGCCTTAAGGCAAGTTGCATGAACTTCCCGAAATGTGTAAGAATTGACTTAATCAAACGATAGATTTGATAAGTAGATACCTAAAACTAATCAGTATCATTCTCAACCAATATCTTTCGAACAGTTTTTGATTTTTCAAAATCGATTCAGAATTGAGAGCTAAAACGTGGACGAAAAATATTTCACCTTTCTGCTATTTACAAAGAAACGGCTTGGCCAATCGTCGCGCAAAACACACCAGTCCTCATCGAGATACATCGAATGGCTTTTAAAATTTTTGAAATCGGTCCAGCCGTTTTTGAGAAAACGTCGATTTACGACAAAAAATCTGTTTACATACACACACATACTTTTTCCAAATGCTGATCTCATTCGATTCAGAATGTCTTGAAACATCGAGAAAACATAAAATCGGATTTTTTATGTAAACAAACTTTTCCTTCGGAAAGTTAAAAATAAAAATAATACAAATTCAACAAACTTTTCTAGATTATAATATCGAAAATCTATACTAATTCTATAAATTTTACCATGATAGAGCTAAATCGATACGGATTTCAATCGCTATCTATTCAAGGCTATCTTCGCGTTCACAATTATTTTTCAATTATCCCACCCCTAAATCTAATTCTCTCTTAAATTCGCCAATTTTACTAATGTCCTCTAACTTTAACTTAATTAATAATGAAATAGACATTCACAACACATCACCTAATCAAATAATCTCCATCTGCACAAGTTAATCTTTTTATTTTCTTTCAAATATCTCATTATTTTCTGTTTATAAATATTATTGTTACATTCTGCATTATATGAAATTTTATCTTAGCATTTTATGTTACTAACTATATATTGTAATTTTGTGTATATTTTAATTGTTATTCATTATGTCAAATAATTGTATTTTTGAGTCCTCTTGGAAAAATCTGTGGGCTATATATTTAAATAAATAAATAAATAAATAAATAAATAACGGTTTTATTTTTGTAATTTCAGAATTTGTAAACAAAAATATTTATTCTCCTTTTGGGCAAAAATAAGAGCAAAGTCAAAAGAGAAAGAAATAAAATTGGAAAAAAGGCAAGGAACAATTATGAAATATAGATTGTACACATGCTTACTGCATATGTAAATAAGTATACCATATAGTGAATAGCTATTGAAAAACAAGTTGTAAGAAATTATATGAAAAGTTAAAATAGGAAGTGGTCATATCCAAATATATAGTAATGAATTTTCTTGTTTGTCGTTTTAAAGATTTAAATATATTTCTGTTTTATACTTTAAAAATGTTGAACAGTATTGCAACTTGAATTTACAATTGCGTAAATGTGATGCAGAAGTTCATAAACAATTTTAATGTTGATCTCGTAGTAAAATTTTATATATTTATACAATCCGGTATTCCATTATTTATTATTTCATATGTATCTTTTTTCGAATTCTGAATAAAAAATACGTTTCAACCTGATAATAAATTCACTATAGCATGCATTCAAATTTTTCATAGAACTAGGAACTCACAGCACGCCTTACACAAACAATCTTAACATTGTTTTGTTGAAATGTTGGGTTATATAAGGTATGTTTTACGTTGGTTTGAAGCAAAACGAATTTTACTTTCATAATGCTATAATAGTTTCGTATTTGTTAGGAAATATTAAAAAGGAGGTACTTTAAGATATTCTGATATATCTTATTTGAATTCATTTTATTTAATACTAGTTTATATAAAATTATTTATATAATATTCGCTGTTACACTACATAGAAAAGGCAAGGCAGTGCAATGTGATTCGAATACGCTTTAGCTTCTCTATTTTAAAATTGTATTAGTTTTCCTGAAAAGAAATTTTTAACAGAGATTTTTAAGTGGGGAATAGAATTGAGAAACATAAGTTATATACCTGCGAGTCTGGCCGTAGATTCATTACTAATTGCTAATTGTTACTATTCATTCATTATTACTAAATTCATGTCTTTGATAAAATATATGTATTTTTAATAGATTGATTTTCATTATAATTGAATTATTAGGTGTCGTGACACACGCGTAGATTGATTGAGAGATCCATCTGCACTTCAACACTTGGTCATCTTGAATATATTTATAATCAAGCATGAAACGAAAACTACATGTATTCTAGCTAAACGATATATAAAAGAAATTAATATTAATAAAAAAAATTAATATTCAACACAAACATTATTACTTTCAGTCCCACAAAAATGGGTTTACAAAGTATTTGTACCTGAATGAATAATTATAAATAAGTTGTAATATAACTATTACGATATAGGAATAAAATTAAAAAAAAAAAACACTGACAAGATTAGAATCCGAAAACATGAAAGCAAAGTTTACTGGCTCGACTTATTACCAGGGCTATTGTACCATACGAACTAATGTTTTTTAAAAACCTTAATTCTGATTATTAAGCAATTTGAAAGAGGTATTTTTTAATTTGGAAAATTAGTTTTGACTATCAACTCTATAACATGAGCAATGTTGCATGTAGAACGTGTAAACCTGATGTTAAGTGTATGATAAAGTGATTAAAAAAGAGTTAACAACACCCTTCAAAATAAGTTGTGTTCTTACAGTTCTAACTTTATATATATATATATATATATATATATATATATATATTAGGGTGGTCCTTAAAATGGTCATTTTCGAATTTCCTTGCTCCCAGGGACTCAAATGGTTACAAATTAATAAGAAACAATTCTCTAAAAGTTTTAGCTCTTAATATTAACGTTTAGATAGAGCGCAATTCAATGAAAGTTTTGTATGGAAATAGCATGGAAAAATTTTCAAAAATTTTAAAAATGTTTTTAGATGTAATTTAGCGAACAAATGAATGAATCAAACTCATTCATTTGTCGCTAAGTTATACCTAAAACATTTTTTTTTAATTTTCAAAATTTTTTTCATGCTCTTTCCATACGAAGTTTAATTGAACTGCGCTCTATCTAAAAGTTAATATTAAGAGCTAAAACTCTCAGAGAATTGTTTTTTATCAATTTGGAACCATTTGAGCCCCTAGGAGTAAGGAACTTCGAAAATGATCATTTTAAGGACCACCCTAATATATATATATATATATATATATATATATATATATATATAATATTCGTAACGCGAATGAATTTGTCGGGGCCACCCGCTACGGAACTGAAATTCGGTCATGGCACGGAAAAGAGAAAGTTTATACTTATTGTTAGTATACGTACTTCTGTGTGTATATCTAGAGCGCACTTATGGAACAAAGCGCGTACATTAAACGATTGTAGTTGGTACCATAAATGCATTATAAAGGATCCTGACTGAAGGCACCGACGAACCGAACGGCTTATAAACTATTATAAACAAAATTATATGCAACATGTAAAATGAAACTAACCTGTGATCGCGCAAGTGGTCTTGTCTGCGGAATGCTTTACCGCAGATATCACATGAGTAAGGCCTCTCATCCGTATGCGTGCGTTCGTGTATTAATAAATTATATGACTTTGTAAACTGGCGATTACAAAACTTGCAAATGAATTGTTTCTTTGGCCTAGCAGCTCTTCCTGGTGCTCTCAGAAGCCTTCGATCTAGATGCGCGTGCATTGCGGGTGCCCCACCATAAGGCGGAAACGCAAACGCTCCATGAGAGACCGCGGACGTATTTCCCCCGGGCGCTGGTGAATACAAACCACCTGGGATAACTGGGGGCGCTTGCCGAGCTAAAATCGCCTCCCTCATCGCGAGTTCTTTTCTTTTATCCGCCATCATGGCAATTAACTCGAAGCCCGCGTTTGAAGATCCCGGTGGCTTGCTGCCGCTGTCGACGCCACTACTTTTAGATGCAGCTGCGTCTACGAGGGGATGATATAATCGCCCTCTCGATGGTACGACGGGCACGAAAGCGGAAGATTCCCGCGATCCGGCGGTAGGTTGTTGAGATTGTTGCTGAAGTAATCCGACCGCAGCCGCCGCCAAATGGTGCTGATATGATGATAATTGAGATTGCGGCGAGGTCTCGGAATATACACGGCTGCCACTGGATGACCGAGATGCACCCGTTGCTGATGTAGAAGAATTGCCAGCGGCACCACCGACATGGAACTGTTCAGTGGGCCGCGAGCGCGGCAGTGGCAGTACATGAGCTTCATCGTCGCCAGGCATTTTTCTGAAAAAAAAATGCAGCTGCGTCAACGAGGGGATGATATAATCGCCCTCTCGATGGAACAACGGGCACGAAGGCGGAAGATTCCCGCGATCCGGCGGTAGGTTGTTGAGATTGTTGCTGAAGTAATCCGACGGCAGCCGCCGCCCAAATGGGCTGATATGATGATAATTGAGATTGCGGCGAGGTCTCGGAATATACACGGCTGCCACTGGATGACCGAGATGCACCCGTTGCTGATGTTGAAGAATTGCCAGCGGCACCACCGACATGGAACTGTTCAGTGGGCCGCGAGCGCGGCAGTGGCAGTACATGAGCTTCATCGTCGCCAGGCATTTTTCTGAAAAAAAAGAAATTGAAAGAGTTGTTGTATTTACATTTTGTTATACTGAATTGACTCCCATAGACATCTTTGAGTCATACAATTAAATAACAACTATCTGACTTATCATTGTAGAAATGTGTTTTTTGCTATTTTTCAAAAAAATTGTAACCTAGTCCTTTTTACACAATAAGCGGGGTAAATTGAGCCGGCCAGGGGAAGGACAGGTCCAATGTCTTATTTCAATTTCGAAAGGATTTTACAAAATAATAGCTACACTATTCAACCAATGCAAAATATTAATTTCATGGGTGCATATATTTACGTAGAACACTGTAAATAAGTTTGATCTGGTATTTCATCAGAAATATGCATAAGCAAAGTTGAAATAATTATTTATTTAATTTATATCTTGTAAAGGAGTTTTTTTTTCAAATTAATTTACCCTTTAGTCTCGTAAACTAAACAACAGTGCTCACGACCATACAATTAACAACGTAAGAAAATAATTTTTTTATGGATTTTCAAATATTGCTGTTTTTCTCTCGATAGCAACGTCGTAAGAATCAAGGTGATGACTGTTTGTATATCTCTTTACCTCTACTTTCAAATATTGTTGTTAGAAAATTCCTAACTTCACTAATTTTTATACATCGGTGGTGGACTTATATATTATATATAATATATATATATATATATATATATATATAATGATATTCAGAATCCATGTCGACCATTCAGATTCGAATAGTTACGCCATTTGTTTTTAATTAATGAATAATTATTACACTAATTATATGTTTTGTTTAAGATTGAGTGAAAAGTTGAAGTGAATGCTAAAGTGTGAAGTATATGAAATTGATAACTAGCTTTATTGTAATAAAAAAGTTCTAAATAACACCTCCATCACAAATAGTATGTTCAACAATAACTACAATCCCCAAATCCGAATAATTCCCAACAAGCTAAGAACTTTAACAAGAACAGAATGAATTTAAGACAAAACGACAGTATAGTCTTACCTATTAGTTATCAATGCTCAAAGAAAATTGAAATACAATAAATAAGTGAAAAAGCTAGGAAAAATCAACTTAAGCAAGTTAAGAAAAGTTTTTCTTAGGACTAGCGTTTCTGAGTTTTGTGTGACGATCAGCCGTGCCGTTTCTTTGTAAATCGCAGAAAAGTGAAAAATTTTTCGTCCACGTTTTAGCCCTTAGTCTTCTTGATCATACTAAATATTACAGCCCTACGACATCTCGTTTAGCTTTAAAAATTCATCAAAGGTTGCAAAAATTAGTATCGTTCTTTTGGCATTTGTCAAAATTAGACCTTTAATCGACGTTTTCTCAAAAACGCCTGAACCGATTTCAGAAATTTAAAAGCCATTTGATGTATCTTAATGAGGACTATCGTTTGTCAGTTATGTGAGACGATCTGCCAAACCGTTTCTTTGTAATTTGAAAAAAGTGTTAAACTCTTCGTCCACATTTAAGCTCAAGCTCAAACTACCGAATAGATTTAAAAAATCAAACACTGTTCGAAAGATATTAGTTGGAAATGATACTGATTAGTTTTAGGTGAAAATCTACCGAGCCGTTTTCTTGTAATTAACTGTTGAAAAAAAAAATTTAAGCCGATTTTTTATGGAACTTTTTTTTGGCGATATATATCATGGTCTTATAGAACTTACTGAATTATTACGGCCTTACGACAAGTAGTATAATTTTAAAAATTTATCAAAGTTTGAGAAAATAAGTAGTTTTCTGACATTTGTTAATATTACAATAAGAGGATTTACTTGGTATAACGATAGTAGTACTTGGTCTTAATGAACATACCTACCATTAAAGTCCTGCGGAAACTGATTCAATTATATAAATTGTTGATTTTTGAAAATTTGCTTTTAGAAATACTCCGATTACCGTGATTAACGTGTTCGTTCGTTTTCAATTATGATTTACTTGGTATAACGATAGTAGTACTTGGTCTTAATGAACATACCTACCATTAAAGTCCTGCGGAAACTGATTCAATTATATAAATTGTTGATTTTTGAAAATTTGCTTTTAGAAATACTCTCTCCGATTACCGTGATTAACGTGTTCGTTCGTTTTCAATTATGTGTAATAGATCCACTCGAACACTTTTAATCGCTCATAAATTAATTTATTTTTTATTGATTAAGTCGATTATTTACATATATCGGAAAGTTCATGTAACTTGCCTCAAGGCTAAATACCAATACCAACTAGTTTTTCCGTATGATGCTACGTCCAACCATGGAATTACTGATACTCACAATCAGTTTTTATACAATATTCGAACTCGTTGAGTATGTGGTCATTACAGCGATGCCCGCCACAAGAGATAAAATTAGTTTCATATATGAAAAAAGCAATTCTAAAATAAATTCAGTTGACAATTTACTAAACATACATGCACTTTAGAATGTGGACATGAAAAGCTCATGTGGACGTAATTCGAACGCGTCAAACAGTAAAAGTAATCTTTTGATCCAAATCGCAGCCACGAAGGCAATCTAATTGAAAAATACCGATTCAAAGGGCATTCTTATGTGAAGGCACATCAAAATATTATACGTTATGAAACCGCAGTGTGCAATCAAATTTATTAACTACGGACGAAATTGCGTACAAAATCGACGTGATGAGATTTTTTTTAGTTCTTTCATCGGAGTGAGCTGCGAGGCTGCGGCATGGCTGCGGCCGACGCATGTGTTGGTTACTCCGAGTGTTTCGATAGGACTCAAGAATCTATGTGTTGATAAAAACTCTTTAATGTTCTCTCTGCGGTACTAATGGCGTCGGGGAGCGAGATTAATTAATCAAAAATTCTTTTTCACTATAGTAAGAACGCACGCAAGTAAGAACATATTTTATATCGAGTATTTTGTATTTTATGATTTTATACATGGACACTGAACACAAGAGGCAGACACAGTCAAACTGACTGCTAACTATGTTGGCTGAATAATAATTATTATATTGCAAAGATTTTATTTAGATTTAATATACAAAAAACAAGTTTCATTTATTTTGCATATAATAAAAATTAATAACTAGTTGGTTTGGTATTTTGCCTTGAGGCAAGTTACGTGAACTTCCCGATATGTGTAATTAATCGACTTAATCAATAAAAACTAAATTAATTTATGAGTAATTAAAAGTATTCCGAGTGGATTTATTGTACATAATTGAAAACGAACACTTTGACACGGAGTATTTTCTAAAAGTCAATTTTCAGAAATCAACAATTATTATTATTGAACCAGTTTCCATAGGACTTTAGTAGCTTAATATGTTCATTAAAACCAAGTACTCTATCGTTATACCAAGTAAAATCGTCCTATTTTAATTTTAACAAACGTCAAAAAAACTACTCATTTTCTTAAACTTGGATGAATTTTTAAAATTAAATTACTTGTCGTAAGGCCGTAATATTTCAGTAAAATCTATAAGACCATGATATATATCATCAAAAAAAGTTTCATAAAAATCGGCTCAATTTTTTTTTCAACAACGAATTACAAGAAAACGGCTCGGTAGATTTTCACCTAAAACTAATCAGTATCATTCCCAACTAATATCTTTCGAACAGTTTTTTGATTTTTTAAAATCGATTCGGTAGTATGAGCTTAAATGTGGACGAAAAGTTTAACACTTTTTTTCAAATTACAAAGAAACGGCTTAGCAGATCGTCGCACAAAATTGACAAACGATAGTCCTCATCGAGATACATCAAATGGCTTTTAAATTTCTGAAATCGGTTCAGGCGTTTTTGAGAAAACGTCGATGAAAAATCTAATTTTGACAAATGCCAAAAAAACGATACCAATTTTTGCAAACTTTGACGAATTTTTAAAGTTGAACCAATTGTCGTAGAGCCGTAATATTTTAGTATGATCTAGAAGACTATGGTATCTACCGTCAAGAAAATAATAATAAAAATCGCCGAAAAAAAATTTTTTAACCCTTATTACAAGAAAACGGCCCGGCCGATCTCTACCAACAACTCATCAGCACGATTCCCAATCAATATCTTTCGAACGGTTTTTGAATTTTCAAGATCGATTCAGAACTGCGGGCTAAAACGTGGACGAAAAATTTTTCACCTTTCTGCTATTTACAAAGAAACGGCTTAGCTGATCATCGCGCAAAATTGATAAACGCTAGTCCTAATCGAGATACATCGAATGGCTTTTAAATTTATGAAATCGGTGCAGCCATTTTTGAGAAAACGTCGATTTACGGCAACAAATCTGTTCACACACACACACACACATACTTTTTCCAAATTTGGTCTCATTCGATTCAGAATGGCTGGAAACGTCGAGAAAACATAAAATTAGCGAATCGGATTTTTTTATGAAAACATAAACTTCTTCTTCGGAAAGTTAAAAAATTCAAATACTATATATAAATTCTCAAAAGAATTCTCAAAAAAATATTAACTGATTTTTAATATTTTTAATATTTGTAGTTATTAGCATATTTTTGAATTTTTTATTCATGGTAGGGAACACTCTATGGATTTTAATTAATAGCAATAATTTTTAAATAAAATTCCAGATTTCCAGGGAAGTTAATAATTGCATTACTTACTTATTTACCGTAAAGATAAAACGTAAAAACAACAAATGAGTAGCGTATTGAATGA